TATCCAACAACTCATTCCACTGCATTGTTGCTGGGGCAAGATGTTTAATAATCAGCATTTTGTTAGACATCTAGGAGGCAGTCACCCCTTTCTATTTCTGTATAATAGAATTCAGTTCAACAAAAAAAACCCTGCTCCACAGTATGAAATAAAGAAAGAGAGCAATGGGCAAAGGGTGAGAACATCAGGGTTCTGGTCCCAGCTCTCAAACTAACTCCACTGTGTCAAACCTGAGACACATGGCTTATTTGGACTCAGATTTCCTTATCTGTAAAACTGTCTGGGAGGGGAATACACGGGCTGGGAATGATTTCCACTTGTGTTCATCAGAGCACTGGGATTCTGGGGAGGTGTTGCCGGGGCCCCTGTAGAGGCAAGGGGCAGCTGAGTGGGTAGTCTCTCATCTACCACACATATCCTTCTCAGTCAGAGAAGCTCCATTTATTATCCACTATATCAGGGATCTTTACAAGGATCCATTAAGTCTTCAGTGTGATCGACATCTCCACCCCTACCACCCAGGGAAAATGACTGGATTATATGCTCTCTCTCTAAGGATCTTGCCCCTTCAGTGTCTGCTCTCTGATGTCCCAAAGAATGATAATACAAGTAGATGGCTGTGTGGATCTGTAATGATGTCTGATGATCAAACATGATATTAAAAAAAAAATTCTCAAAGGTACAAATGACACACATTCTTTCAGAACTGGAGGAAAACTAAATTTTCATTCCAAGAAAAAACTTTGTGGTTAGATAAAGGCAACCAGAGATATTAGCCCATAACACAAAACACTGTAGGCACTTAAGCCTTATCTTAATGTTTTAGGGAACAACTATTTTCACATCACCTGTGTGATAAATTTTATTTATGTATTTCTTTTTGTTTTCTTTGAGTCAGGGTCTCACTCTGTCACCCAAGCTGGAATGCAGTGGCACGATCAAGACTCACTGTAGCCTCAACCTCCTGGGCTCAGACAATCCTACCTCAGGCCCCTAAGTAGCTGGGACTACAAGCATGCACCACCAAGCTCGGTTATTTTTTTTTTTTAATTTTTAATTTTTTTTTGGTAGAGACAAGGTTTTGCTATGTTGCCCAGGCTGGTCTTGAACTCCTGGGCTCAAGCAATCTTCCCAGCTCAGCCTCCTCAAAGTGCTGGGATTATAGATATGAGTCGCTGTGCCCAGCCCAATTTTATTTCTTTCTAAACACACGTGCACACATCTCTGACAACAGATCTCTACATGGGTCAGAGCACAAGGATTGTGGTGATTTCACAAGACTTCATGACCTCAGAAGCTTCATCAGGAGCCCCAAGCCATAGTGACCATGGGGTACCTAAATCGGACACAATTTCAATAATGGCTCATACTTTGTAATTATGGGAACTTGGATGCTAATCAGAGAATTGGGTTGACTCTTCTTTAGAGACAGACGGGAACAAGGTAGTGGACCAAAATGAACACACTCTAGTACAGGGTTTTCCAAAGTGCATATGACAGATTTCAGTGGGTGTTGACAAAATCAGCTTACTGGGTGCCTCTATTTAATACTGTTAATGTGGGATTATTTTCCATGAATTTAAATATCAATAAGAAAATAGTTGCTGTCAATTATTTTATCTAACATATTAACAAAATTTGCTTGTTAACGTTTTACTTCTATTTTATAAACCATATGTATTTATGCAAATGTCACAATGTAAACTCTATTTCTTACTAGGAGCTGTGAGAAAATTTTCTGAAAAGCACTCCTTTGGTAGATACGGAGAACAAGAGAGGAAGCTTGACCTTCAGTTTAATCTTAACAGACGTTTTGGGAAGTTTGGCTTAAAAATAAAGGGAGGAGGCAGTGGGGAGGGAATCATGCCCAGTATTTTCCAAGTGATGACCACGTTATAGACATTGTACTTGACCTTAACCCACCCAACAAAAGTGGGCCTTGTTAGCGGGGGAGGGGAGGTTGGCTTGTCAGGAATTTAACCTGTTTTCTAGATGAAGGGAGTTTAAGTAATTCATCCAAAGTCACAACTAACAAGAGGCAGATTTCAAATTCCAACCTAATAGCCATCCATTAGCTCACATTTTCTTAGCTATAAAGGAAGGAGTATACAACTTAATCTGTTTCTTTAAAATTCGCTTTAAACAATTCTGCTTGGCTGTAAATCATGACTACTATTATCAGCAGGGCTAATATGTATTAAGCCTTCCCTCACTTTGTTTCGGCATTGTATTAAGTACTTTAAAACCTGCATTTCTTTTAATCCTCACAAAAACTTTATAAAATATGTACTATAATCATTCCTATTTACTGAAAGCTTCAAACAGTTCAGAGACTTGCTCAAAGTCAAACAAACGTCATTGATGCAAACCCACATTAAATAGCTGAATATAGTTTTGTTTCTATTCTTATACATATTTAGGGAAAACATCTGCTAAATTAGCTGATTCCTTTTAAAGTATTGGAGTCACAGTTAAAATCTCAACTTCCCATCTATGAAATAGCAATGAATTTAGATGTTCACTTGGAACTTTTTTGCTTTCAGTACTCTCTAGTTCTAAAATGTGTCACCTGTCTAAAGAATGCTAGGTACACACCAGTCTATGTAATTGCATTACTTCAGTGTCCTGGCTACTAACACTGTGTGCCTGGTTTTTAACGACTTGGAACTCTGCTTTCTGAAGTCCCCATCCATTTAGCACGATGCTTATTACAGCTTGAGTATCCCTTATCCAAAAATGCTTGGGACCAAAAGTGTTTCAAATTTTAGATATTTTCAGGTTTTAGAATATTTGCATATATATAATGAGATATCTTGGGGATGAGACCCAAGTCTAAACACGAAATTCATTTGTTTCATATATACCTTATATACATACCCTGAAGGTAATTGTATACAACATTTTAAGTAATTTTGTGGTGCATGAAATTAAGTTTGTGTTAAGTACTTGTGTGTGAAATTTTCCACTCGAGGTGTCAACTCTTAAAGTTATGAATCTTAAAGCATTTCAGATTTCAGATTTTTGGATAATGTATGCTCAATCTGTATAAGAAAATACCTTTTGGTATTTTGAAAATGTTCAGTGTTCAAAAATCTTCACAGTAGTTGGATAGGATTTAAAACATGATGCTGGTGATTTAAGAACTGGGGCTTATACCCTAATGGGGTTCTTTTGTTTATAAAGCTTCTTTTCTTATTCTGTTGACCCATGTGACTGTTGTCCATGAAGTCTTAACTCTGGGGATGGAGTTCCCAGGGGCAGAGGTGGGAGCAGACCACTATTTCCCTTAAAAGGCAGCTCAGGCAGCTTCAGAAATCCCCAGCTGCTGTGAAGTTTGAGATGAGCATGTGAGGCACAGGAGAGAAGACTGTGCAAAGCTGTGGGATTTTCACACATTTGCATTCACAATCTAAGCTGGTGATTGCTCTGGTGGAATTTTGGACACTTAAATTTAGGTGAGGTTTAGTTCATTTCCTTGTGCATTATGGGTGTTTGACATCTAGGCTTGTTAGACCCAGACAAGTTCTAAGACCTCTATCCTGCAGAAAACCTTGTAAGCCAGAGGGCCTCAGGGATATCAATTTTCTAGTTGTTCTACCCTTTTGCAATCCTCCCTCCCTCTTATTGTCAGCATTAAGCTTAAGTTATTGTAGAAAATTGTCTGAATGAGATTTGGTTATACTGGAGCAATTTTCATGTCTTATCAGGCTTGTAAAAAAGGACATTCTAGGCCGGGTGTGGTGGCTCACACCTATAATCCCAGCACTTTGGGAGGCCGAAGCGAGAGGACTGACTGAGCCCATGGGTTCAAGACCAGCCTGGCCAACTTGGTGAGACCTCATCTCTACGATAAATCAAAAAATTAGCCAGGAGTGGAGGCACATGCCTGTAATTCCAGCTACTTGGAAGGCTGAGGCAGAAGGATCACCTGAGCCCAGCAGGTCGGGGCTGCGGTGGCCGTGAATGTGCCATTGCACTCCAATCTGGGTGACAGAGTGAGACTCTAACTCAAAAACAAAACAAAACAAGGACAGTCTGCCTATACCTTCATATTACATCTTTTCCCTTCAAAAAATGCAAGACTCGAATGAGTGTGTGAGCAAAGTCTGAGTAGACTGACAGCTTAGAGGTATGAGGGCAGCTACTCCTAAGGAGGCCAGGGAAGAGAGTAAGTGAAGTAAACCAGGGTGGAAATTCCAAGGGAACTTATAAATCTTTGTATGCAAGGTCACACCTACATCCTAATTGGAAAAGGGTTGAAAGGGCCTGTACATTCCTCCCTCCTCTGCCATCATTTCCTACCTGGTTTCACTAAAGCAGATACATATGCCTGTCATACTTGCAAGAGATACACAAAACCATGCTTTTCAAAGCAGAGAGAGGACTGGTGTTGGGGGTAAGAGGATGAAGCTGAGAGGGTAGATGGCTCGGTACCTGAGGGGGAGATAATGAACAAGGGGTGAAGTCAGGGAGGGAAGTGGGTGGATACAAAGAAAGTAGAAAAGCAAACACTAGACAGGGTGACACGTCATGGTCTTGACTTAGAATCATGCCAAAACATTCCTTTATATACTGACGACACATTATAACCCTCCAAAAATGAAATAAATGCACGTTTGGGCCAATATGGTTATCACCACATCTAAACCCTAAAAAAGCAAGTATCAGATGAGAGGAAAAAGTAATTCCTAATTTAAGAATGGTGCATTTGCCTCGACCAATTCCGCTTCAGAGATCAAGAAGTGCCTAATACCTGCAGGAGGTTTCCGTCTCAGTTGCACCTGTTTGGGAAGGGCCCGGGTTAATAAAAGAGGAAAACAACAGGTTCCCACTGGCGGAAACTCGATCCGGTCCCCGCACCTCCTGGCGCCCAGGCCAAGCGCCACCGGAGCGCGGCCCTGGCCGCCACTGCCCTGCCGGTGGCCAGCTCTGCGAGGCCAGGCAACCACGGCCTCCTGTCTGCTCGGGCCCAGGGAGGGTCCCATTATTCCACGGCTCACCTGCTGGGAGCCAGGTGAAGAGCAGCAGCCAAGGTGCGGGCCGTGCGGGGCCCATGCCGGCCCCTCTGTGGCCCCTTCCAGCTCAGGGGTTTCTCGGCACCGCGTCTTTCTTCATCAGCCGCCGCCCCGGGACGCGCCACTTCTCCAAGGAACCCCTCGGGTTTCCCCTCCCTCGGCGCCCGTCGCCGCAGGTGTCGCCG